AATGAAATCAAAGAAATTTTATCCTTTCTTATAATTATTATTTCTGCAAGATAAATAATTTTAACAATAAATTTAAACAATTAATATTTATACGCAAAATATTAACTTGGTTTGATCTGATTTGTTTTTAATTTAATTTATATCTATTTCAATATGATATATATGTTTTGGTTAAAAGATAATAATACTGAACTTGTAAAAATTAGCAAAACACCTAAAATCTCTCTCTGTTGCTTTGTGTTTTGCAGCTGCTAGAGATATCCTTCTCATACTTCATGTTCCTCGTCGGCATCAACAATTCCTCGGTCGGCGGCAACGGCAACACAAAGGTCTGAAATTTGTGAGGAACGAGTGGCGGCTTTTGGCTCACGGCTGCAGAATTTGTTTTGTGTTGTGTGTTCGGCGGCGCAGTGCATGTTCCAGGCTGCGTTCGCTCGAGTGATATTTCACCGGGGCGCGAACCATTCATCACTGTTTCTTCAGATGCCGCTTGATTGATGGCAAGGTTGCTCGCCAAGTGACACGCGTTCTGCTTTTGCATGCAGAGGCCCTGCTCGGATCACCCGCTCCATTTCTCGTTTTATCATTGCTCGTGACGTGCACACGAGAGCGTAAGGCGCACCACCCTTAGTGAAAATATGACCTCGTGTCACTGAGGATTTATTGTGGACATCGCAACTAACCAACCCTATCATATATAAAATCAATCAATAAAATATATCAATTGTTCTTTATTGGAAGTCAGTAAACAAGTGTGAAAAATACTTTTCTACTTTATTAAATTTTTTTTTTTTATCTTTCCTTTTTAATTCTATAGTTTCATATCTATAATTTTTTGAAATGATGTTGCTTAGTAAAATAAAAAAAATCGTTGCAGTTAAATAAATAGTAATAAATTTTGTGTAAAAATCCAATTAAAAATAAACAAATGCTCGCCACGTAAAATTGGTTAGTAGGCACAATTTTTTAGCTTTTTTGTTCTTATCTGAAAAGACCACCGTGTCCCGAAATTAATGAGAGGAAAAACTGCAACAAAAGTTATTGAGTAAGTGTGTGTGCGCCGGTTAGGAGAAACCCCCACGAGGCAGGTTTGTCCTGAGCAAAAAGTTTCCGAGCTGTTAATTCACCCTCTCTCAATTTCGCAGCGGCGTGCGAGTTTAAAGCGCAAAAAAAAGGTGGCTGGCGCGCGCGATATAATCTTTGCAGCAGTTAGGGGTGTTATCTCAACTTTTTTCATCGTGCAGGCAATAAGCACACAAACTCGAAAGTGCCGCACCAGCAGCAGCAACACTCTCGGCCATTTCAGTAATTTCGTTTGCCACCTTGAGAAAAACAAAGGCCTCGCTAGTTGTCGGTGGGTTGCTGCTATGTTTGTTCTGAATTACTACTTCTCTCCGACGACGAGAATGCCACGGGCGAGAGGGCGCCATTAGTAAGCCAGCGGCAACCAAGGCGCCTTGCCCATTTCAACCCTTTCTTTATTGGCTCGCGACTAACGAATGATGCAAAACTTGGCTAATGAAAACAACAATGGCTCGTTTTCCGCAAACTGATTGCTCTTGTTGTATCGTTTGAATGGCGACAACCTTTCACAATTACGTCTATTCATTTCTGCGCTCTCTGGTAATTTTTCTAAATTAGGGACAAATTATTTCAATCACAAGCTGTAAAAGTTTTATTATTTATTTTTTATTTTATTTATTCAAAGTTTATTTGTTGCGGCAACGGAAAATTGAAAAGTTTTTAATTGTTTGGAAATTGTAAAGTAAAATACAAATTTAATTACTCTTTGATTTTTTGCAGAAGGAAAGTCAGATTTAACCCCTACCAAAAAATAAGAAAACCTCCTCCTGAATAGAAGAATAAATGAAATACACCAAATTGGATTTAATCATGTGAATCTCATAATAAAACGGATGTCACAGTCGGATTTTTTTAATGAGAAAAAATAGTAATTTACTTAAGAAAATAGATTATTTTTAAATTTTAATTTAAAATACACTGATTATCGCAATTATTTATAGAAACAACTAGTTTCAAACCATACGGTAAAACTACACAAATTTATATTTTTTTTTTCTAAATCGATCCAGAGTCTGCGGTAAGTAGCAGAGCTGTGGTGAGCGAGTGTGGGTAATTTATTCAAAGTTGCAATTCCAGTTGTTCAGCAAATCCTGCCACGCGTGCGAATCGGTTGACAATTTATTTGACTAATGCACGTACGGACAACCACTGCTTAGTCCCGAGAGTGAGGTCGGAGAGAAATTTCTTGTCGGGAAGTCGCCTTAAAAGCTGAATAAATCAAGGCTGGAAGAGTAATGGAGTAATTACTGCTCGGGAGTGTAGTGACAGCACTGCGTCATTATTCAATTCCGGTCGAAATTAACCAAGTGAGTCGTGAAAGGAGCGAAGGGGTTTTTGATCTCGTCGACTGCGCGCCCTTCCTTTTTGCCTCCGAGCTCAATTATTGCTCTCCATTTGATCAATTCCTGCAGCCCGTTGTCAATTCATGGCTGGGATGCCATCTCATCTCGTTGTCATCCGCCGAAAATATCAACCACGGCCCAGGCTCTGTCCGCCGCCCAACTTTCTAATTAAGCACGTCGCGCGACGCGTCAGTTGTTTGAACTTTCACTATTTATGAAGGCACTTGAGATGCGAAATTGCCTATTTATTCCTCTTGCAGTGCTTCCGTCAACTTCTGCACTTTCGGCCTGAGGAATTTCGCCCGCTCGGAAAACTTGGGTGCGTGTACGAATTATTCAAATTTGCTTAAGGTCGTCTTCAAGCAGTGTCACGCTAAACTTGGTTTGCGTCATTCCAACTCCTTCAACTAATGAGAATAACTTTAGAATCACCCCAGTTATAATTTATAATTCAGCAAGAAATTGCTAAACTGATATTTTTCCCATGACAAATTATTGGTCCTTTTTTGGTGACTTGAAATTTTAAGAAATTAACAATAATTGCCAATCTGCAGAGAGATTCTTCATAACCACTTTAAAAATATCTTATTTGAAACAGGTTAATTTCTGGTTTTGGTTTTAAATTAAATTGAAAAACTCAAATCTGGTAACAAATGTTATTGTTTAACAAAGAAGACACAAATTAAGCCTAAAATTTATTACTAAGTTTTGTAGAAAACGCATCAAAAATTAAAATTCCAGGAACTGCAGTAAAAAATGTGAAACCTTTTAAATATTTTAAGACCATCATTCTTTCTATTATTATTATTTTTTGTTTTTAATTGAATGTTAGAGAAAGAAAGGAAAAATTAGGATAATGCATTTTTTTTATTTTAATCTATTGAGGGCATGATTGTTTTCTGTTGACATTAACAAGCTGATTGCAAATAAAAATAGTCAGACGGTCTGTTGGGAGCATGCACAGCGAGGACAATTTCCACATCGTAATTTCCGAATCCCCGACGTTCATTAATAATCAATGGCCGGAAAATCGACGTCAATGCTGGCATTAAAAAATTCCCCTCGGACAAGTGCTTTTAAAGTGCACGCGGGCAGCTCAATTTATTTGCGTTACTAAATTTCAGTCAGGGAGTGCAAAATTTCGCCACAAGCGTGGGCCCAAATTTCACCGCTCTAATAAACATAAACTCTGATAAAAATGGCAATTGTTAAACCGCTTTTCGGATCAAGCAAACGATTTTGTGCCAACTCGGCACGAATGTGAAAAATGTTGCAGGCAATAAAGCACGCCGACGGCCATTAGGATGTTGAAACTAATTACTTTTTTAATGCAATTTTTATTTGCCGGGTCGCGCAGCCCCACTGGGCGAGGGCTTAAAATATTTCCATAAATAATGGCGCCGCCGCCTCTTTTACGGCCGGCCAGAGAGAACGTGCGTGCTGAATAAAAATTCGCCCCCTTATTCATTTAATGCGGGCGCATAACGATCAAATTAATCCAAATCTCTGGAGAGATGATGGAACATATTTCATCTGCGTATGTGTATATGTGCGCGTGCACCCTTTCTGGCCATCCGACCGGCCGGGCTTTGTTATTATTATTTCATCTCTTGCCGCTGGCTCACTTCAGTCGGTGGGGCGCGCGGTGTTAAATTGTAATTCTCCGCATAGTTTCTGGCCGGCCCTCTTTTGTCGGCTGAGCGCTTTAAAGCATTCCTGCCAAACCCTCGCGAAATGCACGTCGTTTAATGTGGTTTATTCTGCAGCAGGGCCGAGGGGCAATTTAAATTGTTGCCAGACAACTGGGCAAAAATGGAACTGAGTGCGAGGGCTTCATACGGACCAACTTTCAGACCTTAGGCCAAAGTGCCTCACTCGATTTTGCGGATTTATTTTTAGCTTCCAACAAGATTTTCTTACCTAGCCGCGTTTGTGGCGAGGGAAAGTCCAAATCAGTCAGAAACAGCAACGCGCAGTAAGCCTCTTAAGTCCTACCTGTCTGCCAGCCTAAAATGAGGGTTAATCCTCTAATTGCGAGAGCAGAAAGCGAATTTGCACTTCCTTCAGATTATTTGCTAGACAGCCAGGCTGTACGAACCACATGATGTGCTATAACAATCAGCTCAAGCGCAGGCAAGTGCCATATATGAGAGCTTTTGGCAATCTGCTGAACTTGCACACTGTTTAATTCACACTCAAATTCATGTCACATTTTTCTGTCATCCTGATATTTATATGCATGATTGCATAAATTTTGCTTAGTTTTAAGATTTTTAATAAGTTAGATCAATATTTTTTTTTAATATATAATCCTTGATAACGTGAATTTAGATTTATTTAATTCATTTGATCAATAATTTAAAATATAATTTTTGTATCTACCCTAGCAGCGAAAAAAGTATGCGTTTTAATTCTAACAATAAACAATAAAATAAGTCTAATTGTAAGTTAAAAACTTTAGCCTCCATGCATCCATTTTTATAACATAATTCATAATTATATAAACTTTGTAATAAATTTTTGTCCATTATTTTTAAATTTAAATTTATTTCCATTTTTCGGTGCTGATTTTATAATTTTTTTTTTAATGAAATCTGTTTGGATACAAAAAATTCGAAATTCAAGGGTATGAATTGACAAGAGTTTTGTTTCCTCTGATCTCCTCATTGATAGTCCGAAGCATCGGATACCTTCCGCTCATGCAAACTGTTCCATTGAAGTCGTCGTCGCTCAAATATCGGAAAACCACACCGCCAAAGTGATCCAATGTGCTCAAGAAGCTCATCTGAATTTGAGATAACCGCTCAGAATACACCAATGTGAATTAATGCCACGTTCAACCTTTTGTCTGATCAAATCGACGCTGTCATAGGAAGCCCACGTTTGGTCTTTGTAAGCGTACGCGTAATAGTCGTCATCACTGCCCTTGACGGCCGTTGCGCCATTGTTGCGGACGTTGTAACACACCTATTTTGATATATTTTTCAAATCAAACAGTTAAGGTTTTAATAGAGAAATTGAGATAATGTATGATTTTGATTTTACAGTTAAAGACACACAAAAACCTTTAAATTTTGAATTAGAAGTCATGTTATTTATATAAAAAAATGATAGCCTATTCACCTCATGCAGTGAAACAGGTAATGGGATAATTCAACCAATATTAATGATGATGAAAAGGGGAAAAATTAAATATAAAAAAGTTAAAATTTCTAGAAATATAAAATAATAAATTAACAACAAGCAGCCAGCAAAAGTGAACCTATTTATTAACATAAATGTGTTCTAGAATTTGTAATTTTTTTTTCATTTTTTTTATATTATAAAAAATTGGGTTTTTGTCTACTTTTTTTAACAAACAAAATAAAATATTTGTAAATATAATTTAAAAATATTTTGCTCTAACAACTATGTATGATATATTTTTTTAAATTTATTGCCTTGACATAAGAGTCCATGCTGTAGTTGCTTCTCCCCAAGATGTACGAGCCGATGCGGGTGTTACCGATTTTTGCAAGTTTTACTGGGACGATTTCGGAAGAGATTGTTGCCAGTAACTTGTTGGGAGAAACAATTTTTGAATAGAACTGAAGTGTGCGCATCTAAAATAATCATTGAGATTCAAAAATTGAAACTGCTGATTATAAAAGTTTAAAATTATATTCTAATTTTCTTTTCTCACGAAGCTTTTGTAAGGGGCAGTTAGAGCGGTGCCAGTGCTCCAGTCGCCGCTGTACTCGCACGTGTAAACTGCCAGGTAGTCGACGTTGCCCATCACCTCGTTGAACTCAAAGACTGCGAAAGGGCGATTTATTTGTTCCAGTCGAGCGGATAGCCGCGAGCAAATTACCTGTGTTGATGACGAAAGTGTTGGACGGTGCGTCCACGATTACCAATTTGCTCTCTGACCTGATTATTTTGTTCATGTACTTCAAAAGCAGGGAAAAGTTGGGTTTGTCGACGCCAGGTCCGTTGGTGCACACCACCTGGTATTGACAGTTTTAGCCGTAAATGTGAAAACGCTCCACTTCCCCCTTTGGAACGTTTGATTCACCGCACGGACAGCCCAATATGCGTTTGAGAAATTTCAAGTGAGCCGTAAATGACCACTATTAAAGACCTTCAGAGGTCCTATACCGGTTATATTAAAAGCTGCTTGCCCATATTGACGAAGGAAATTCATATTTTTTTGAATCAAGTATTATCAAATATGCGATAACAAATTATTACAGTTTAAGTAATATTGGTCTGAAAAATACGGTCAGAGTTATTTGGCTATTGGTAAAAAAAATTTAATTTTTTTTCGATTGAAAATTTAATAGACAAAAAATCTTAGTTTTAATAGGAAGCAATTTGTGTCAATAAATAGTGAATTCTAAAAATTCTTTTTTAAAGAGGGATAAATAACTGAACTTAAAAACCTCATCAAATTGTTTCCTTTCAAAGTTGATTATTCCCTTGGGTAATTTCACTTATTGTAGTAGTTTCAAATTTTAAAAGTTTTTATGGAACGTGAAGTATTTTCTTTTGAAGAAGACTGGAATAATTCATATATTTATTAAAAAATTGACGGAACGAAAATTATTGACGGTCTAAATTATTTTGCCTTGAGTGACTTTTAATGTTATTGGTGAAATTGAAAATTACTCACAAACCAGCAGACGGGATAGAGCCATCTGAGGAAGATGCCGTCAATCTCGTATCTCTGCATCAGACCCAAGGTGTTATTGACAAAAAGCTCTCTGGCCGTCTTGTTCTTGGCCATGCGGCTGAATTGCTTAGGGGCGAAAGATTGGCCGTCCCAGGAGCCAATTTCGATCAGAACCTTCATATCGAATACCTTGCAGTATTTGATTATTTTCTCGATCGCTTTTCGGGCATGAAAATAAAGTGAGTGAGTGACTGGCAAAAACAAGGGGTCTTCTCATTTGCATACGCGCTATGTCGCCCAGCAGACGCATCTCGTAGTCCTTATTTTCCAAAATTTTCACTGCGTAGGCGAGCACCACATGCGTGCAAAGCCGCTCGTCCAAATCGTCAAAAGTGAAGCCGTCTTTGACAAAACTGCAAATTCTCTTCGTTTATATATCTTGCCATTTTTTTTTTTTTTATAATTATACCTTTCTGGTTTCACAACGCACAAGATCACATTTTCTGCATCGGGCAAAGGTATGAAAGGTCTCGTCTCCCCAGGTTTGCAGTATCTTAATTGGGGAGAAGAAGTAGTGGCGCTTACATTCTCATTTACCATTCCAATAGTTGTTCCAATCGAAGAGAGTTTGGAGCTTAGCATTTCTGTACTCAAATTTAAGTCTAACACCAGAGATGATATTAATCGTATGGATGCAAAAAATATATCTCGAACCTTTTAGATCAACTTTACCGCTTGCTCTGCATGTGAAATTTGACATGAGATCATTTAACTTGGTCATTTGCCTAGTCAATCGCTTTTGCATCTTTGTACAGTTATTATCGGACGCCTTATTGATCATACAAATGAATATTATAGTGCTGAAGATATATATACAAGCAATATTTCACCAAGACCAAAGAAAAAAACGTCAGTGCTAGGATGAATTTCATATCTGCGCCAATGGAAACTGTTTCATGGCTACCGTCAGAGCGTTTGCCTTGTTTGTTTTGCACTAAGCGTGAATCACTTCCTGCGATTTTCAACATTCCAAACAAAGCACTCAAAATGAGACGTGCTCATTAAAAACGCGAAAGTGCTCTTCCCCTGCCGACGTGCTTTTTAGAAGCTTTTTAAAAATGATTGGGTATGCAATATTCCATTTTGATTATTAATTCTTTTATTGTAATATTTTTATAATTTTTTTTAACATAAAGTTAAAAAAATCAGTCTCTTCATTTGAGACAGTTATTATAAGTATTAAAGAAAAATTTCCTTGTGAAACATTTTTAATGTTAATTTAATAGGCTTTTTTCGATTTTTTTTCTTCAATTAAATTCAAGGACATACTTTTGTTTCACATAATTTTGCTCCCCTCACCACATTATTAATTGCCCTGAGAATAGGATATTTTCCACAGTTGCAAGCCATTCCATCAAAATCGTCCGCAGTTATGTAAGGCACATAAACTCCGGCTAAGTTTTTGAGTTCAACCAGCGTCGCCTTTGAAATAAGTTGGACTCTTTGTAAATTATTAAACATATCAAACTCATGGCAAATTACCTTATTAGCCGCAGTCATTGTTGATTCAAAGGATACCCAATCATTGTTAACATAAGCATAAGAATTTATTTTGTCAGTTTCATTGTGCACAATCTGCATTCCTCCTTTAGCCGCTTCCTCGCATAACTATGCAATGCTTCATTAAGTCCTGGTAAAATGCATATGCTCAATATTACCCATCTGAATCTTGACAATCTTTCGTTAGCTTTAGCAGATGCACGGAAAGGACTCCCTAGTTTTTTATTAGAATTTTGTTCAGCAACTAGTGGCAAAAAAATGGTCGGTATTCCAAGCTCAATTTTTTCAGGATTGATCATTTTTGAATAGCCGCTTATCATCGCCTCCTAAAATAATAAAAAATAAAAAAAAATTGCGAAACTGTTAATTAAATTTACAAACACACCGCTCTTCTGACATATGATGATATTGCTGTTGCATATGACCATCCACCTTCAAAATGGAAAGCAGGAAGCATCCATGTATCAATTAATCCTTCCAGTTTTTTAAAATTGAAAACTAAAAAATTATCATGAATGTTTTTGACCCCATATAGATGTTTTAAAATCACAGTACATAGTAAAAACGCCATTGAATTTGTGCCGAAGCAATGTAAAGTTCGATTTTTCTCTCTTAAAGATTCTGAGAGTGCTTCAGCCAGTTGCGGAAAATTGAGATAATCTTCCAGTTTCCCTTTTGCGCTTACAGAGTTCTAAAAAATATTTTTGAGCAAATTCTGTAAAAATTAAAAATTCTGCACCTCCCAATAGGTTGGGTATTGCCAATTTAGTAGGAATCCAGTCATATTGTATTTATCAATTATTTCCAAGACAGAAGTCACAAAAAGCTTCCTCTTGTCTTCTTTTCTGACCATATCACTGTACTGCCGAGCCGAAAATTCATCATCAATCCCACCGACACTCAAAATAACAAATTTGTTCTTTTCGAGGAACATTTTTACCAAGGGCTCAAAATCTGGATAATAAAGTTAGCTTTTTATTAATTTTTTTTTTATAAAACTACATACTTGAAAAATAAGGCTCAATGCTCTTAAGAGTGAATTTCTCAGCGTCTGGTTTGAAGAAATTCAGAAATGTTGCATGAGTGCACAGATCAACGTCAATTTGTTTGTAATTGAAGTTTTCATTGAAACTGTGTAGATGAAAAAACAAGTATTCATATTATCAATTTCATTTATATTAAATAAATACTGTTTTCGGTGAATCCAGCAGTTGACCCTTGCTCTGCTATTAGGACGAGGAACAAATTTTCCATTGCAATCTCCTTTTGATCACACAGTATTCATGTAAATATAAAACAAAACAACGCGGCGGATATTAATATGTACCAATATCAGCAATGGTAGTTTGGGTGGTCACTTTATTTGCGGTGCCCTCTGTTGTTTTTGAACTCGCCGTTTTTGTTTCACCATCGCCACACAAATATTTATCCACCAGCTTCACTAAACTTTCCACATTTTGTTTTAGTCTCCGTTTACTTTTACTGACCACACAGTCCTGCAAGTCGAAAATATTAATTATTCAATAAAGAAAGACGAAAAAATAATTACTTCCTCGCATGAAGCAATGAGAAAAACATTAATGAGAATAATTAGCGTTGATGAATCCATCACTATTTCAGCTTGTATAAGCTGAATTAGAAATTGTGTGCATATTCTTCTCTACTGTTTTCAGTGACGGTGGAAATGGAAACCAGAGAGGCCGGAAACCGACTATTTTGGCCTCCAACGTCCACGAGTTTTGATTTTATTGCTTTATAGCTTTTTGTCATTAATATGCTTACTACATTAAAAAACAATGAAGGGCGCAACTAGAGAATTAATGTATTTTGCCTTCAAACTGAGGTTCATAAAGTTAATTAAAAAATGCTCAATTAAAAATGAACTAACACGTGATACAATTTATTCGACTTTTTTATCAAATGATTCACTCAGTTGGTTTTGCCGTTGGGCAAAGAGGAACGAAACATCGCCTGCTGCCGCGAATCTCCTCGTTCATTGTACGCAACACAGGATACTTCCCACATTTGCACATTGTTCCGTCAAAATCATCATCACGTAAATGCTCCAAGAAAACGCCAGAAAGATTGTATTTAGTAACAAACTCCATCTAATCAAATAATTTGTTATTATAATTGAAATATAATTTTTTTATTAATTTGCCTTCTGACGGACGGTTGCAGTTGTTTCAATGGACACCCAGTCAGAGTCTTTAGTCCAATATGCATTATTGCCAGACGACTCATTGTATACCAACTTTCCGCCAAATGTGGTGACAGCGTTACAGATCTTGAAAAAATGTTTCTTTCATGTGGCTACGTTTTCTTTGCTATTTTTTTCTTATTACATTTCTAAATGAATTTAAGGTAGCGTTTCCCTTAGTATCTTTCATAATATTCGCTCCAAGTTTGTTTGACTTGCTGTTCATCAGTTTCAATGGAAGATAATGGGGAGCAAGGCCAAGTATAGCAGTCTCGCTTTGAATCGCTGCTCGGTACCAACCAAGACATTGATCCTGGTGTACACAAAACAATTTTATTCAATTTTAAAAATGGTCTTTTAAGCATTACCAAAAATTTGATAGAACTTGATTCGCCAGCAATTGGATCCCAATGGCCCCGATTATTGTAGCACACGATTAACCAGTAATCAACAAATTTCGTCAGACTTTTAAATTTAAACACTAAAAAGTTATATTTGAGTGTTACGGAATAAATTAAAAATATTAATTGAATTTATACTTGTGCTGTACATAAACGATTTTGTTGTGTAGATGACAAGAGAAAGGCCCTTTGGTCGCAGTTGTGCTGACAAACTCTCAATAAGGCGAACAGAGTTCTCAGAATCTACCATCTTTGGTTTGTAACAATCTTCCTACGGTTTAAAATTTGATAATTTTCTTCTGTTTCATAAATTTTATCATATTACGTAGATGCAAACTGGATATCTCCATCTAGGACTGAAGCCGTCCATTCCTAGAGCAACTAGAATGCCCATGACATTTTTAATAAACTTTGTTCGCGATTCCTCTGTTGTTGCCAACGTCGAGTAATCTTTTGGCTCCAAAGTTCCATCAGCCCCGATGCTCAGCCAAACTTTCAATTTTTTTGACTTCAAATAAGTCATCAGGTCAGTGATAGCTATTAGTATTTAATTTAAGAAAACACCAATTATTTAAAAAAAAAATTAACTGTAGTTTTCCAATTTTTTTCCCGTTATTTCCAGCGTATCAACTTTGACCTCATAGAACCCGCTGATAAGGACATGCGTGCAAAGCGTTTCGCTAATATGCTCCATTTTGAATTCACCGTCGATGCTATACAAAAGACACAATTAAAAAAATAAATAAAAACAAAATTATGAAAATTACTTCCCTGAATGCACATTGCATACAACAATGCGCTTGCTTCTTTCTGGTACTTGCTCAAAGTCAGAATTGCAAGAACCTTCAAATAAGTGTTTACAAAATAGAAGCATTAATTCTAAAAAGCGTCTAAATACCCGATTTTGCAGTATCTTTGTCTTTTGTATTGGCGTTAGTTACATTAGTATCTTGAGCTTCAGTCATTTTGCAAATGTGCTTTTCCACCAAACTATTCAGTTTTGCAGAATTTTCTCTCAATTTAGCCAATGGTCCATTTTTTGCATCGCACTCCTCTGCCACCTTTGATTTTAATCAGAAATTCAGTGAAATATAGCAATAAATTTTATGATTTGTGATCGGCCATTGTTGTTTCCTGCCAAGCAAAAACCTGTTTCCCAGCGAAAAGCAAACTTTTGTCGGATAATTTTACCTGATCCTCAGGAGACACTTCAGCGATGGCAAGCAACGCAAAGATAAAAATGCATCTCTTATTTCTAATCAAACTCTTCACTGTCATTCTAAAAATCTAGCATGTAAGGCACAAATTTGTTATGCCTGGCATAACGGTCTGCACTAATTGCGACTTCGTGATGGGAAATGACGTAGATGCACAACAAAATTTTCCTATGTGGATCGCAGCAGGATGCATGACGTTTGATAACATTTGAATTTCATTCTTTTGGTCCGACATGACTGGTACAGGAACAAAAAAATAAAAAAAGTCGACGACACTTGCCGATTTTTCGTCTTAAGGTGTTTCCCAGCTATAATTAAAAAAAAAATAATAATGCTTATTAATCAAAATTTAAAATTTCAAGTCCAGAATTACAATTGTGTTCATCTGTCCGTAGTATTTCCTGCATTTTGATTTATTGCCCACAAATGTCCAGCTTCAATGCAATGCAATTTGATTCATTTTCTCGGAACATGGCAATTGTGATAATGCAATTGATTCGGAGAAAGAAGTGGCGCAATGGAAATGAGCAACGTATTGAATTGGCCAATTTTATGTGACCTTCATATTTATTTCAAAATTTTTGACAAATATTTCAACTCCTGGGAAAATTCAAGTCAAAACTATTTTTTTTTTTAAATTTTACAATTTTTTATCTAGCATAGGTGCAGATTCTTCAGTTCAAATATTTTCTATTTAATATCCTTAATATTTTAGAACACTGTCCCCCTAATGAGTTTATTTATCCTGCACCATATTTCCCATCACACAGAAAGGAAATTTAGAAGTGGTAGCAAAACTAAATTAGTCGCGCGATTTGGTGCGTCACAAATCAAGTCACTTCCACTCCACCTGTGGTCGACAGCACTTGGTTCGTCGGCAACGGCGCGTTTAATTGCAACTGCCGCTCGTGCTAAATTAGATTCGCAGTGCAGCGAAATTCAAAGCTCGTGTATCACGCCAGGTTATGTGGCGCCGAGCAAACACGTGTTCGAATTTGAGACGGCGGCGAGTCGCTGGCTGGGTGCAGCAGCACCGCCAGAGATGCATTAGTATCCATCAGCAGTGTGCTCACCGCATAACCACATTTCGCCAATACAAACAGCTTTTGATAATTAATGTTTCTGCTCGTGCAGCCTTCAACCCTCTTGGCAGAGGGGTTGCTGCTCTCCTCGTGTTTGTCTAATATGCAGCAGGGGCTCAACACGTTCTCTCGTTTGCGCTCGCCCAAGCAGAGTGCAAATAATATCGCTGACAGTGTAATACGTTATTGAGAGCGCACCGGAGAGCGATGCCGATTTCGGTCACTAAGTTAACTGCCAAACGCCATTCGAGCGCACAACGGATTTTACCCGACCGATTTTCAATTAGTTGAGCAAACACTGTCTCTCTACACTCTCGATGTTTAATCGGTATTGAGCATTCAAACATTTACTGAAAAAAACAAACACAGAAATTAAAAGCTTAAGTGCTCGCTTGTCAAACATAGTATGATACATTTTTTTTTAAATATTATTATTTTGGTTTATCAATCATGATATTATGATATGATTAATGAAATAAAATGAGTTAAAACCCTGAGATTCAACGATAGCAATAGGGGTTGACCTAAACTTGCATTGTTCGAAGTTACTGAAGTTTTTGAAAGTTATAACACTCAAGATGGATTTCTCTTGCAAAATTAAACCCTGGCTTTAACTGTATTCTTTTCTCCTCCTATATTATGCTTTTATTTCAAACTCATTTGAGTACAACTACAACTTCACTAATATAAAAATTTTAAAATCAATTTGTAATATTGACAAAATTAAATAAAAGTGGTTACACTTTATTTTCAAATAGTCGTCTTATCTCTTTCTTTCTTCAGTTGAATGCCAATTTACCAAATAAAAAGACAGAAGCAAGCACAATTCTCTCAAACTTTAATTTCTTTCATTTAACTGGTAAAGATTACAAGGTCAATATTGGGAGATTTAAATTTATAAAATATTAAATAAAACTATTTACAAATTTGTATAGAATCGCTTCGTATTATTAATATCCATTGTGAAACGTTGAAGAAAAAGACAAATAAAAATTTGCTACTAAATTTAAAATAAATTATTAAAATTAAAAAATTTCTCTTGTAAGATACAAATAATTAAAATAAATTTAAATTATTGTTAACGGTATAATATAGTTATAATTTTTTTTTTGTGCCAATATTTGTTGAAGCCAATTGTAGCTATTATTAATTTTAAGAAACATTGAGTTTTGAAGTTTTTTTAAAAAATAATTTTTTTAAATGTTGCATTTTTTCTGGTAGCCCGTGGTAGCCACTAAAACGCAGTGAAAATCAATAATTCTTTTTTAGTTATTCCTCTTTACACTAATGTTGGAGGTTCCAATTGTTTTCAAATAATTACAATTACCAAAAATTGCTCATATTTTTTGTAAATTTTAACCTACTTAATTTGAATGATCGACTTTACAAAATTTCATTCTCATATTACAATGAATATTCTATCAGCAATTTAAAATAACCATTATTTTATTTTTATGCTGCCAAAATCACTTTGGTATAAACCACAAAAATGATGATCGTGGGTTTTGGATGTACGTTTAGAGTGTTTCAACCATCGGCATGACGGCGTTGATTTTAAATTCCATAAATTTCGTTTCAAGTGTGTGCGATTCAAAATTCAAAAGCGGTGAAACGCCATAAAAGAGCCAAAATGCGAAAACTCGTGGATACGCGAGTGTGTGTATTGTGGTGCGCGTCGAGTCGGAAAGTGCTCCCTCGGCGCACAAAACTTGAACTGCTAACGCATAAAACAGGCCGCGCTCTCGTGAAATGCCGCATTTGAAACGGAAGCAAAGGCGGTTTGGCGGAAAATAAAGCAGCACGTCGGTGGTTTCTTTGTTTCTATTTGCGCCGCCATTGAAACGGACCGCAACCCGCTTTGCAGCAGACAAATCCGTTTATTCACTCACATTGCACACGCGGCTACAAAAGAGTCTGCGCCTTTTCTCGCGATAAATGGTTTAACCTGTCTATTTATCGCTTTGTTTTGTTCCTCCGTTTCCCGCCGGCTGCTTTCGCTCGCTCGCTCGCTCTGATAAATAATCCGAGCTGGTTTTCTCTTTGCCCGTCGACCGTAAATTTCTGTGTTGTGCATCGGGGGAATGTGCACGCAATCGCTTTTAGCCTCCTTCCGAACGGATTGCTCTCTATGGGTATATCGGTGCCGATGTGCACCGAGCTCTTATCACGACGAAATATGGCTGTCGCGAGACGCACTCGTATATGTGTTCAAGCTATAAAGCATTTCTATTGTTCAAGCAAAGCCCTATTCCGCAGTAAACAAGGTGGTGGTAATTCACCACACAATAATTTATATCCTCGTCTGAAGTAAAATTTACTATTTGCAATACAGTACAAAACCAAAACAGGATTTGTCCCTAGAAATTATTTTAGGTCCAGTTATTAATTCAATAAATTATTAAAATAAATAAATAAAATTTATGAAAACCGTGTGAGACTGTTTTTCCCTCTGCGGCAAGGAAAACATGCATTTCCACAAAAAATATATTTACCTGAAAAACCAAACAAAAAATATTTTGGTCTTCTCTCGACCATCGCCAAGAAAGATACGTTCAAAACACAGGTGTCGATATTCTGACCAAAATTATTATAAAATTGATTTGTAAAAAAAATCTAAAACCCTGTTAAATATTTATTATATTACCTTAGGTCTACGGATCCATTTGGGCCATTTTAGCAAGGTTTTTATGAACAAGATATGCTGTGGATTTTATGAGGTTTTTAGAGAGGGGAGAAAATCCATAAAATTCAATATTACTAACCATGAAGTAAAGTTACGCGTTTCCAACTTTTTGAAAGTAAGGTAAAAGTAGGAGAGGCCATAATTAAGAGGTCTAGATGGTAATTGGTGCTGGCTGGCAATACATTTCGTCACTCACCTTGGCATGCAACGACCCTTGTGTGAGCAATAACAGTAATTCGTGCGGCACACGCGCCCGCCGCAATAATCATAATATCTCGTTCAACGACGGCGGCGACGGCGCTGGAATTGCACTTGCTTTCACGAACAAGACCCATTATGGAATTGCAATGAAAAGCAATTGTTATTTTGACCGCTGGTGTTCGGAAAACGAGCTCTCTCGCTGACCACTCATCAACACCACCCCAAGCGACCACAATCTTTCTCCATAATTCAAAATACGGTGGTTATTGGTGGCCAGGTCACATTTGCAAATAGACTTCTGCGAATATTGAAAGTTAGAAATAAATTTAATATCATATTCAGTATACCACAGATAAAAATAAGGAAATTTTAATTTTCCGGTAAATCGTAAAGTACTAAAAAATTATTATTATCATACATACAAGTTATGAAAATAACCATTATTTGAATTTTAAATTTAAAAGCAATTTATACATATTTAAGTTATAAATTGATTTGCATCGCTCCATAGTTTGTTCTGCTGTTATTTTGAATTGCTAGTTGTGAATGATTAAATAAATCCAGTATATAATAAGGCCTTAATCGCAGCGGCCGCTTATCTTTTCATATCGGGCGTTTGAGCAGACCTCTGCTAGTTGTGTTACTCTTTCTGCTCATTTTTCCATTTCAAATTTTTTTTGTAAATTTTGAGTAGAATAATTTATTCTGAATAAGCAGTAATTTTAAAAGCTTAAAATAAACAATTAAAAAATTTCCAATCACTACATTTTCACAATTGCAGGAATAAAATATTGTAGCAATTTTTGTTAAAAAACCAAAAATAAATTCAATTTTACTGAGAATTTACGAATTAAAAGTCGATATTTCTTGCAAACTGATTTCTTATAATTTTTTTTTCTTTTCTTTTAATTAAGATTGATGCCCTTGTCATGTTCCAACGCATACACACCATAAGATGACAAGCACTTCACGGATGAGCTTTCCCTTTGTTTTTTCCTTGGCGCCAAATATGGAAATAACTTTCCGGAAAAGCCGTGAGAAAGCATGCTTGTCGTGTGTCACATTTTGTCAATGCGGATGAGATCACATTTAGGCGCGCACCATCATTTATTTCCATCTCTCGCTACGTCTCCAGTTTCGACGCGCCTATCACATAGAT